ACCCCATCCATGATGCGGTCTCCCTAGCAAGACATGTGACCACCTGACACCCCACAAAATATTTACAACATTATTAATTATATTCCTTGAACCGTCTTATATATCCCTGTGGCGATATTGTAGTTAACTATTTGTGCTGTCTAATCCCTTCCCCTTCTTCCTCATCCCCACCCCTCCCAACTAGCAGCCATCAGTTGTTCCTCTATATCTCTGAGACCACTTCTGTTTACTTTGCTCATTCAATCAATTTTTTAGATTCAGTAGATAGATAAGATAATATGGTATTTGTCTTTCTCCAACTGACTTATTTCACTTAACATAATAGTCTCTAGGTCCATCCATATCGTCACAAATGGTACAATTTCATTCTTCTTTATAGCAGAGTAATACTCCATTGTATAAATGTACCACAGTTTCTTAATCCGGTCGCCTACCAATAGGCATTTTGGTTGTTTCCAAGTCTTGTCTATTGTGAATAGTGCAGAGCAAGGGTTTTTGAGCTTTGTTAATGTTCAACACATCTTTAACATTCAACAACAACAAAAGGAATAACATTAATTGTGCAAAATTAAATATATGACTTTAATCATAATTTAAAAACATTTCCTATGCTTTAAGTAAGCTTTGCCGTGCAAGATGCACTTTGTCAACAGCTTACAAGTTTCCAAAATTACATGAAACACATAAATTTTTGTATTGTAAATGATGACAGAAATAATTTCTCTATGACAATTTTGTCACAGTAAAATTTATTCACCATATTAACATTCAGAAAAACAATATCACAACCTACTAGCTAGGTATTTGCATAATTCCCCCCATTCTGTTCTTCACAGGCCATATATCTCAATAGTCCAGCATTAACATGTTATGATAAAGGCATAAAATAGTATGCAGTATGAATCATTTAGTTTCTTTTTTTAATTGAATTTGGAAATTTGAACTGAAATTGAAATTAAATTATTTTTCTATGTTTACAGTGATGGTTCGTTTGAAATACAGCACAGGACTGATAAAAAACAGAGCAATAAGCATTTCAAATACAGAGCCAGCAGAAATGGAGAAACAAAGACATACTAGGTTTCTTTTAACAACTATCCAAAGGGCCTAAATTGATATGTTATTGGGGCAATAATAAGAAACAAAATGTGGGGCTGGCCGAGTGGCGCGATGGTTAAGAACTGGCTTGGGACGCCAGAGGGCCCTGGTTTGGATCCCATATGAGGGCCAGTGACACTGCCCTCTACAGCTAAGATGCTGAACAACAGCTCAACCTGGAGCTGGGCTGCCGTGAGTCGCCGGAGCCGGCGTAGGCTGCAGCCCTTGCTGCAGTGGGTTGTCATGGGCTACCGTGTGTAGCCAGCAGCCAGGGTGAGCGGCTAGCAGCCCAGTGAGCAGCCGTCCAGAAGCCGGCGACTGATCTGCCTTGCCCGGGAAGAGCGCAATGATGGTGCCAACTTGGGCCAGTGAAGCAACGTCCTCAACAACTAGACTGAAGAACAAAAAGACAGCAACTTGTCTGTTCCCCTTCCCCCAATTCCCCAGCACTGTTCCCACTCCCCCATTTCCCAATTAAAAAAAAAAAAAAAAGAAGAAACAAAATGTGCCCTTACTCCTTCTTAAAGACTTTATTTACCTCAAATCACACCTTTTCCACCAGCTTCCTCTTTTTGCTTCCACCAGACACAGGCTGCAGCCTCCTTGTCCTACTTAAGCTTCCCTTAGTGTAACCTACTGCTTCATATCTTTATTTACCCTGAACTCTCAGCCTGTAAGGTTCCTCTCCACCCCAGACTCCTGTCTTGTCTTGCCTACCTATTGTAACTGGACATCTTTCATTTTTATGCCCCAAACATTTCCTTCTTGGTGAATTCCTCTTCAACCAATTTCCAATTGCTTATAATTTATGTTCGTTGCAATATAATTTACCATCTAAACCAAAGCATTTAAAAGAATAAAAGAATGGTATTACTAATGATGTCGGAATAAGGGGCTATCAGACAAAATTGTTCCAATATGGCTACCCCATTTATAGTATATGTAGCAGGATGTGGATCTGTCTTATTACTCTTGGGAAATGAACTGTTTTACACACTAAGGCATTGAACCATTGCTAGGAAGAGCAGTCAATATTAGCAAGAGAGATATAGGGGCCCTTCAGTGAAGAGTATATATAGGTCTATAGTTGTACCCACAAAGACTGAGCCAGGTCCTGAGGCCCTGTAAGTGGAAGCAGCTACTGGGGCTTTGAGAGTGAAGGTAGACTACAAGATGCAGCCAGGACACGATGGGGAGTGCAGAGGGTTAGAAAAGGAAAGCAAAGGCAGGAAGGCACTCAGGGGGGTCCATCCACATGGGTAGATTCAGCTAGGCCCGCAAGGTTACCTTTCCCCGAGGTTCCCAAGCTT